CCCCTCTCCACTGAGCTCGGTTTAATGTGCATAACTTTGGGCAAGGTTCATAGTTTTAAATATTGTAAATCAAGCAACTGTCTGACTTACGCTCTACAAATACTCACAGTATAAAAACACGCTAAACACAAGTCAGTCAATATAAACTCACCTCATGATTTTCATGGCTTTATCCTAGCTAACACCAGTGAACAACAATGTTTACAAATTGACAGCTGTATTTACGTTGCTCGTTGTAACGGCAAATGTGAACTCTGCTTTTTGCAAACAATGCGTCTTGTGATAACCTGTAACTATGACGAACATTTGATGACAGGAAATAACTTTAAATAACTTTTACCTTGTAGAGATGTTCTCGGGACAGAACCTTGGGACCAAGTCTTGGGTGTTTTTCTGTTTTGTACTCTGAAAACCGTTTACATGCAGAAAATCCTTCATAACACACAAAGGGACGGGTAATAACCGGAAAAGCATGACATGGGACCTTTAAAAAAGAAAAAGCTTCACATTTAAAAAAATAAATATACTTTGCAATTTTTTCTGCTTTACATCTTGTCCATTAAAGTGTCATATTGTTCAGGTTCAATTACGAAACTGTTAAAGTACGGGTTTGAGTCCGACCATATTAATTTGTGAATAAAATATTTGTAAATAATAATTACAAGCTGAGTAATCGGCTGCAGAGCAAGCTGCTGACGTATGTGCTCAGTGGGCGAAGTTACAGAGAAAAACATAACTTTTTTCTTATTTCTTAACATGATTGAGACTTATAGAACGCACACCCCTCAAGATTAAAATAGTTCTACATGATTGATTCATGTTTCGATGAGAAACATGAATAAATTATGTTTCATATATTAAATGCATATTTGCAAATTGAACAACCCCACTTTCCCCTTTTTTTCAGTGTACAATTCAGAGGTTAACCTGGTATTTGTACTCCACTACATTTATTTTAGTTACTTTGCAGATTCTGATTAATGATGTGAAATATAAACAACCCTTAAATCAGACTTTAGTTACACCTGAGTCAAATTCAGGGAAGGTGATTGTCAAGTGCCAAAATAAACTCTGCAATATATTGGACGTTAAGTACTTTGTCAGACTATTTATCTGTGGATAACCCCAACGTTTTTTTCTTATTCAAAAGAAGACCTTAATTTAAAGTATTCTTTAATGTTTAAATAAAGCCTTATTAGTTTGGCTGTTTTGCACATCCTCCTGTTAATATTCAGTTCCAGTTCTAATTTCTTAAAATGTACCTCTAATTATATCAACGTCGGAGTAAGAGGCATTCTAAAGTAAAGATGTTTTAGTTAGAGAAGTTTACCACTTTCATGTTGATTGACTTCAAGATATTATTATTATTGAATTCCAGTTTAAAATGCTTGTTTCATATCGTTTTCATAGAGGTAGTCAAAGGTTTTTACAGAGGGGATTTTGCATTTCTCACTCCACAAATCAGAAAATAATATAATATAATGTATTTAGTAATAAAAGGCTATCAGAAACTCTGAATGATATCTGAACAAAGGTCTCTGTAAACACTGCTGAAATATACAGTAGTTGGTAATTAAACTTTGTGGAGATTTCTGCCTCACAGTATCAGAAATAATACATTTTGAGATAACAGCTTTTAAAGATATGGATTGTAAAATTGATATTTCATACACACTAACATAGATAATAAATATCTCCATAAAACTTCACCAGTTGATTATTTTCTAAGGAACTTGGGGCTGAAGTGGTTTAACCAGAAATGTGTATCTGCGTTGATGAGGGGACCGACAGGTTAAACCGGTCCTACGGGGTGAGAAGTCAGCCATGTGTTTTCAGTCAGACACCCTTCATTTGGTTTGCTTTTTGATTTGACTTTCCTTTCTGTGGTCTCCTCTCTTCTGTCTGGCCTTGAGTCAGGTTGTGACGGACATCTTTTGAAAGGAAATAAAATGTTGAAATCTGAAAATAAAAACAGAGACAGGAGGGACAAACAAAGGTGACTCTTAAAAATATAAATAAAAAAGATATGCTGTATGGTCTCCTCTTTCAGCTCTGAGGTTCAAGATGAATTGTCATTTGCACAACAACTAAAGCTTAGTTTGGGCAATGAACATCTTAAGTCCCAGCCTCCCACAACAATGAAAAAAACAATATACATGAGATAAAAATAAGAAAATATAAAACTGTAATAATACCTCGTCATTTATTAGTTGATTTATAATTTTGCATTAACAGCTAATAAAGTAGCTAGTAATTAAAGCTGTAAAATAAGACATTTGGAGTAAAAACCATAGTATCAATCAAAAATCTAAAAGTGAAAATACTGTATTACTGAATATTCTCAAGTTACTTAAGTAAATATACTTAGTTACATTCCACCAGGCCTGCACAGGAATCCTCTGATTTAGATGAATAAAGTTCAGCACATTTGATATGTTATTGTCTTCAGAGAGAATTTATGGGATTTAAGTGAATTTTACAGAAAGATAAATGTGTCGTCTACATACACGTATATATATGTTCCTTTAAATGTTTTTTACTGAATCTTATAAGTTAGCCACTTTTTAAGCACATCCTATAATTTCCATCAAATCAGTTGAAGATGTGCTATTTTTTTTAACCATTCCACATGCATTCTTTGCACGAAACCTGAAAGAACAAAATGTTTTCCCCATAAGGATCAATACAAAATGTGACCATAGACACCTTCATCCTCTAATATCTCCAAATCTATTCATAACAAAGATGTCAAACTTGGTATACTGGCTCCCTATAACTTTGCGCATAAGATCCCCAAACATGGTCCTCATAACGCCAACATCTGGCCAATGTTAAAGCACTTTGCATTATTTTTGCACAGTTACCGACCTTCTTATTGTTGTAACAGATAATTTTTACAATGTTATATACAGTGGTTCTTTCACTTAAGTGAAGGATCGGAATACATTATAGATGTAATGTAACAGAAAGCACACACATTTACATGTTTGAGTTCATCAGAAGTATTTTATTTGTGTTTTCTGGAACGGTTTGCTTGGTGTTGACAGATGTTTGTTCTCTCAAACTTCCTGGCTTTCAGAGCTGACCTCTTCATCGTCAGTGTACTCTTTGGTGATGATCAACACTTTCTGGGTTTTTGTGGTGGCCGGCGGGCTGCAGGACGACACAAACAGTTAGTCTCTATAACAATACACCTTTTTTCTTTTAACCTTTCATTTTACATTTAATATACACACCACTTTAAGGTTGTTTTTTCCCCAATTGTAACCCTTCTACAGAAAGTCTGCTTAGCATTCACACATCTCCATTTATTTGTATTAGTTGCAAGATATATTATGTGTATGTTATTTGTGACTCGGACACCATTTTGATTGTCACTGTGGTTATTATGTGTTAGTTTATTTGTTTTATAAAAATGAAAAAATGGTTAACCCTTTTTTCTTGGTAAATAATCATAATTTGAATGAACTATCATTTTTGTCACACAAATTTGATTTATTAATCTGTCTCCCAGTATGGGCCGGTGCATTCACCTGAACAACTCTCCGTCCATCAGCCTCCTGTACTCTGAGATCTCCATCTCCAGCCGGGTCTTGGTGTCCAGCAGGACTTGGTACTCGTGTCCCTGCCTTTCTAGGTCGGACCTGAGCTGAGCTAGCTGGCCCTCAAGGCCCAACACCTTGTTCTGGTAGTCTCCCATCATGTTGGAGTAGCGGTTCTGTGTGTCACCGAGGGTCCCTTCCAGAGACGCTTTCTGAAGAAGGAGAAGAAAGAGTGTAAGGATTCAAAGATTCATAGGCTTTATTGTCATATGTGGAATAGCAATTGAATAAGATACCACAGAATGCCATACTATTTATGGTGCTAAAATATATTTTAATTAAGATTGAATCCACCTTTATTAATTCCCAAATGGGAAATGTGTGCTTCATTCTGGTGTTATTTTACAATTGCAAACAGGCAAACTGGCCCTTCTCCAGCTACCAGTCCACACTCCATATTTAGAGAGACCTGATTACTTCTTCCTCCATTGATTGAATGCTACAGTATACCCACCATGCTGAGCTGTGCTTGGAGCTCAATCTCCAGGCCCTGCAGCGTGCGTTTAACCTCTGTTATCTCAGAGCGAGAGGACTGGAGAGTCTCTGTGCTCACTGCCACCTCCTTATTGAGTTCTTCAGACTGCAAAACAACAAGAAAACATTGAAAAGTACATTATAAATCAGATCTGCTTATAAATCAAACTGTATTAAGATGACACTGTCACTTTCAATTCGCAAACCTTTATTGCTCTCTCTACCTCTAGACGTTTTTATCTTTGAAAGTTGTAATCATGACATGGTAGGCTAACATTTTTACCCACCATCTCATATTTTTTCCAGGTATATCATATAATATTGATTTTAATAGTCTTTCATTGCATTAAAATGCCTTTTATTATAGAGACAGAAAGATAGACTGGACTGCTATAGTTTTTTTGTGAAGTCTAGTCTAAATGCGGAAAAACACAATCTTGCTAGAAATAATCCTGTTTGAGGAAGATGATTTCAGAAGTAATTAATGAAAAGTCATAAAAGGGTTTTTCATCAGATGATTGATTTTGCTCACCTTGGCCTGAAACCAGACATCCAGATCTCTCCGGTTCTTGTTTGCCACGGTCTCGTAATGTTCTCTGATTTCACCCATAACAACAGACAGGTCCTGCTGCGGTGCGGCATCCACCTCCACGTTCACCTGACCCCCCACCTGGGAGCCCATGGCCAACAGGTCCTGCAAGAGAACAGTTTCAAGAAAAAATTAAGTTGAATATAGAATAGGTGTTAGTTTGTTCATCAGAATACAAATTTGAGTGTTTGTTGCATGCTTTTCTCTTTTTCATGTCATTTTTAAATGATTCTCCTTTTAATTGCTTTAGACTTTGGATTTGTCATATGTTGGGACATTACCAGCACCCAGTAATAAAGATTGGATTTATTCGCAGTCCTTTTCTGAGATACTGGTATGTTGAAAATAACTAAATTCCTTTCATTTTCGATATTTTACTTCTTTTTTAAATCCAGCTGATTTAAATCTTATTGAGTATACAGGTTGTCGCCTACCTCCTCGTGGTTCTTCTTCAGCTGGATGAGTTCATCCCGCAGAGACTCGATATTCATCTCCAGATCCGATCTGCCCAGTGTCAGCTCGTCCAGGAGCCTCCTCAGCCCACCGATGTCCCCCTCCACCGACTGACGCATGGCCAGCTCGTTCTCATACCTGCAACACACCAACCATTCCATCAGCTACTCCACCCGAAACAAACCCAGAGAAATCACAGCAAATTCTCATTTCGGTGCATACTATAGGGCATACTATAGTGCATCAGTACTTGATAAGGTGTGGCTTATTTGAAGATAATGTGCTTACAGTACAGGATTCTTTCTGTTGATTAAACAACTATGAATATCCAATAATAATAATAAGGGTAGTACAACTCATCGCCAAGACACACAGTTGGCTCCAGGGAAGTCTCGTGCGAAAGACTTCTTCCTCTCTTTCTCACATTTCTAAGTTTCTAAGTATCCGAAATAACAGTAATACACCTTATCGTTACTTATTCTATGGTGTCTTACGGTCATGCATACTAACCACGAATTTTACTATAAAATTAATTCTACTTGAGGTGGAAATAATTAAGGGTTTACCCTTTACCCACCGAAGTATAGACCACGAAATAAAATGTTACGTTTGTCCGTTTGACCGGGATAGAGGTGGTTCCCCGCGATGGTCAGGTGTGAGGGTAAAATCTCTCTGGACATAATGAAGAAGGAGGTCAACTAACTTACGTATGTCGAATGGGTGGTAGACTCGAACACGAACCTCGAGTTAGAGGTCCCGGGACGTCGCACTGCAAATTGGAGACAATAGAGTCTCGTCTCTTGACCTCTCAGAGACCAGGTGACGGTCGGAGGATAACTCAAGAAGTATGACGTTTTTGTTGTTCTTTTGTCAACTTTTCAAATGTAATATTTAGTCTAGACGAATATTTAGTTGACATAATTCTATTGTGAGCAGTGAAAGTTAAGCGTTTGGAACATAACGAGGAGATGGGAGATCTGCAAAAAATAGAAACTTTCATACATTAGTACTGTAACCATCCGATGTAAAAATGGGGTGGTAAGAGTAATAAAAAAGGTCCTATATGTCATATTGATAACTAAAATTTATCAGAAGTAACGTAATTTTACGGCAAAAAACTACATATCTCTGTCTTTCTATCTGACCATGACCGTATCAAAAACACTTAGATAGATTTACGCCTTTTTGTGCTTAGCAACAGATCTTTATTAAGGACAAAACTCACTTCTACTAAAGTCTTATTAACTTACTTTCAGTATTATTCCCAAAAGGTAGTCTACTGACTAAACGAGTGGAACCGGACTTTCGGTCTGTAGGTCTAGAGCGCAAGAACAAACGGTGCCCAGAGCATTACAAGAGAGTGAAAGTGGGGTATTGTTTGTCTGTCCAGACGACGCCAGCCGTAGGTGGAGGTGCAAGTGGACTGGGGGTGGCCCTCGGGTACCGGTTGTCCAGGACGTTTTTGTCAGTCTTTTTTTAATTCAACTTATATCTTATCCACAAATAAACAAGTAGTCTTATGTGTTAGACTCACAAACACGTAGCGAAAGAGTAAAATACGTACAGCAAAATTTACTAAGAGGAAAATTACGAAATCTGACCAACATATACAACCTGTAATGGTCGTGGGTCCATTATTGCTACCTAAATAGCGATCAGGAAAGACTCTATGACATACAACTTTTATTGATTTAAGGAAAGTAGAGCTCTTAAAATGTGAGCAAAAATTTAGGTCCGACTAATTTAGAATACTCATATGTCCAACAGCGAGCATGGAGGAGCACCAAGAAGAAGTTCGACTACTCAAGTAGGGGTCCTCTGAGCTATAAGTAGGGAGGCTAGGCTAACGCGGGGTCACAGTCGAGCAGGTCCTCGGAGGGAGTCGGGTGGGCTACAGGGGAGGTGCTGACTGCGTACGGTCGAGCAAGAGTATGGACGTTGTGTGGTGGTAAGGTAGTCGATGAGGTGGCTTTGTTTGGGTCTCTTTGTAGGTGTCGTTTAAGAGTAAAGACACTGTATGATATCCGTATGATATCTACGTTAGTCATGAACTATTCACACTCGATAAACTTCTATTACACAATTCATTGTCCTAAGAAAGCACTAAGGGGGGATTTGTTGATGACTTATAGGTTATTATTATTATTAATAATAATAATTTCTCTCATATATATATATATACTCCCCCATATAATCATATATGCATATCTCACGTCGGGCATATATATGATATATAGCATCACTGATATATATCTATCTATGATATACCGGGATATTATTATTATTTATATTATTAAGACCTGCACTGCCGTTCTCCGTATTATATATTGCCCTCGTTAATAACGGGAGGAGGATTAAGTGGTGGACTTGACTATTTAGTATCAGGTGTTCACTGGGCTGTATTGTTCTATTCCTTATTTTTATTGTTATTATCATTTATACTCTCTTTTTTGGGTCGTATTTGTAACTCCCTCTTCTCTTCGCTCACTAGTGCCTTTGATGTAATTTCCATATAAAATATTGGGTAACTGCGCGCGCGCGCCGCCGCGCCGCCAACTAACAACCACTCTCTCACTCCAGTTACCAAGTGAATTTTATATGGAAATTCGATCAAACCGCCGGACTAGTCACAATGGAAAAATATTTAACAAGAATACACCAAAAAAAGAATATGAAATGATTAATAACAATCCAAAAATAAATAACAATAAGCCGGGAACGACTGATACTAATAGTCATAAGTACACGTTTAGATCCTCCTGCTAACGTCGGGGCAATATATAGAAGGAGACGGCAGGTTGAGGTCATAATAATAAATAATAAAATTTATATATAGATAGGCATCATATATATATAATATATATATATATATAATATATATATATATTATATCAGTCATATCCCAAATATATATAGAGAA